TTAGAATGTCTAAATAGAGCAAATATAGAAATGAGCCCCGATTTACATCTAGATTTCAAATTAAATCTGAATTTAACTAAAAAAAAAAAGGAATAAGAACGAAACAGTTTACTGATGTTTCCAGTTTTGTTTTCAGGAACAAAAATGTTCCAAATTAAATTTACAAAATGAAGAATTAAATAAAATAGTAAATTCCCCAAATCCTGTGTGTTTTTCTCCTGAAAACCCGCAGAAATAAATCATTAAATGACCGGAAACTATTTGGAGAATTATGACAAAACACGAGAGGGTCACGTGCACGCGCACCTTTGTGCGCGTGCACGCGCAGCTCTCACCTGGAAACGAACAAAGCGACACGTTCAGAGCAGAAACAGAAAAACCACCAAAACTGAAGCAAAACGCTGAAAAACGGCCGTTTTTTCAGCTTTAAATTCACTAAATAAAATAATTTCTGCTTTTATGAACTAAAACCTTTTGGTGTTTTTTTAAATATATTTTTCTGCTTTAAAATCGGTTGAATCTAAAGTTCTGTTTATTTTTGTGCGGAATAAAAACAGTTTTTAAAGCAACAAAGATAAAAAAAAAACAACACAGATTTTCTTTATTTTCAGTACAGAAAATGAGTCTTTTAGATTATAATATTTAGTTTAAAACTTATTTTATTTTCTATTTCAACACTTTGATATTTATTAGATTTATTTTAAATAAATTCTACTCATAAAGTTTAACGATAACTTTGATGATTGTTATTGTTTTCTTTTTCAACAGTTTGATATTTATTAGATTTTTTAAAATAAATTCTACTCATAAAGTTTAAAGATAACTTTGATGATTGTTATTTTTTCTATTTCAACACTTTGATATTTATTAGATTTATTTCAAATAAATTTTACTCATAAAGTTTAAAGATAACTTATAATTAGTGTTTTTTTCTCCAGAATTAAAAAACAAACTCGGCTCTTCAGACGGTAGAAACGGGACTATTTTCTTTGGCGGATGAACATTTGTGACATTTATCTGTTTTTTTTACACAGTTTCTGAGTCCAGAGGCCAAAAAAAGTGAATAAAAGAGATTAAAAACTGGAAAAGGAGAAAGAACAAGAGGAATTTCAGCCTGTTGGGTCAGTCAGTTGTTTATTTTGGTCATTTATGGGATTCCTGAGTGAATTAGTGGGATTTTTTCAGCTTCTGGAGGAAAAACGACGTGTTTCCATCATTTAGTTTCCAGTTCTGCAACTTCTGCTGGAATAAAGCTCATTTAGTGGAAATCAGAGCTAAATATGGAAGGAAAAAGCAGAAATTCAACGTTTAAATTATAGATATTCTGATTTATTTTTATTTCTTTTAGTAATTTATCTGATTTTTAGATTAAAATATGCAGATAATTAAATTTTCTTATGGAAAAACTATCAAAGTTTCACTGTTTTATTTTAAAATCAGCTAATTTTTTTACAGGGATTGTTTACAAAACTTATGAGAGAGAAACTTTAAGGAGTTTTACACTAATGTAGTGGAAATCAGAGCTGATTCTGGAGGAGAAAAGCAGGAATTTAACGTTTAAATTTGAGATATTCTGATTTATTTTGAGTTATCTTAGTAATTTATCTGATATACCAATTAATTTATGCAGTTTATTTAAGTTTTTATGGAAATGAATTTGAATTGAAATACAGAGATTACACTCACACATTTCACAGCTTTCTGCATTTTTAAAGGCCAAATCATGACGTTTTTTTCTCTTCTTTAAGGATATTTTCTCATTTTTTTAGACTGAAATTGAACAATAAGAACAAAT